TAATTAACATATCTGGAAAAGTTATTATGGTAATATGACTGAATGTGACTGTACGTTCGCCTTTTACACTTCCGATGATCGCTACATGTTTCTTTCTGTTTCAGCTGTTTCACAATGTTCGCTGTTAGTTTGTCAACCATCATGTTCGTCCTTGTCGTCACCAATCAGCCGGACGTCAAGCGGTGTTAGTACATTCAGTACGGTCAGTTTGATTAATACCGATGTGAAAGCAGATGAAAATTTTTGTCTTGACGCATGTCTTCTGAAGAAAACAGCTTCACTAACATCGCTATCATCATCGTTACAACTGGCAGTTAATGTTCCTATTAATCAGGATTCGAGAGTTTCATCCACTGCTAGATTAGGTGTTGCACTTATTTATATTTCAAATTCATATAAAAAATAGAAGTTCATATTAAGAATGCGTTGTCAAATAAAAAAGCTGCACACAGTGGTTTGCATATGATAAAAATGTCTCTGAACATCTTATCAAAATAGAATTTCTGGAATTTCGATTGAATTTCCTTGCTTATCCAAGATTTCTGGTCTACTTTTTCTTTGTTGTAAATTCATTAGTACCTGAGAAAAATAGGAAAAAAGAGTATCAAAAGAAAAGAATTCGAAATTATTATTGGTTGTGGCATCTTCATGTTATATTTATTCTGTCAGTAACTAAAACATTCGTCAATTGAAATTCGTAATTTTTTAGGCAACAGTACAAAATCGCTTGCAAGATGTTCAACATTCCCTTCTTTTTCTGGGAGTTCGCCTTCAGAAATCAATGAGCCTGAGTTAAGAGTAAATTGTCGTTGGAAAAGCTGCACGAAACGGTTTGCTTGCGACAACGACCTCTATGATCATGTTGTCAAAGTAAAATTTTTCAAAAATCTGAATTCATTCGTTTTCTACTTGCTCATTCAAAAAAAGGCTTAGTTAAGGCGAAATTCGATCAGAAATAAAATCCGGATTGCAAACATTTTCTCAAATTGAAATTATGTAAAGCCAATTTGCAAATTGGTTGAGTGATTTTGCTGGGAATTAAAAAATCTTATTTAGAAAAAACATGTTTAGGATCATTTGGAACTGCTACGACCTTCAACATATTTGGATGGTAGTAATGATAACAATAGTGGCGGCGCCGGTTCGCAATCACAAACTGTGGGCCGTTTAAAAAATTTGATGTGTCAGTGGGGGAACTGTAAAATGGGTTTGAGTCGTGGTAATTTTCAAAAACAGGTGCGCTTCTTTGTATGCTGCTTGTTATATAAGCATGAAAAATGAATAGTGTAAAGTATTATTTACTGTTAGAATTGCTTCAATTTTTTATGATTTTTATCACTACTTTAAGTATTTCTAATAATGAAAACTTTCTTACAATTCAGTTCATTTGGTTGGAGGAACATTTTACAACACGACATGCTGGTAAAGCACAACCATACATGTGTCTCATAGAGGGTTGTTCGTCAAGATTTACATTGAAGCGCTCATTGGAAGAGCATCTCAGGACGGGTCACGAAAAAGTGAAAGGTTTGATTTGTTTTTCGCTACCAAATTGAGGATTTTCTATCATTTCCTAGGTCATTATTTGAAATTTTTAGCCTTTTTCTTGTAATCATTATCATTGTGAATACTGCTTGATAAACGGGTACGATTTAGGGTGCTGAGCCTAATTGCATATTTGATATGCTATTAAGTATGTTTTAAGATATTTGGAGTGGATTCACTCCTTCGATGTCACTGTAAATAGCATTTGAATCGAAGCACTCTTTATCTAATCGGAAATTATTACAGTTATCACATTTCTTAATGTTATTGATTGAAGTTTTTCAATTTACAAAGATTTTTTATGACATTTCTATGCCTTGTAGCTGAGTATAACTGGGAATCTAAGAAATCTCTATTTTTTCTGATTTGACTAATTTCAAAATTTATAGCCAAACGCCCTCATAATGAAGAAGGTGAATTGACGAGAGTCAAATCCTGCTACCAATGGACACCTCTACCTTACTACATACCAAGTAACATTCTTTGAAACTTTTTTACCAATTCATCTTTCTTTTCACAGTTGGTGTTAGAAGGAACTTTTTCTTGCTGACTAGAATATCTCTTAATAAGCACGTTTATGGAAAATAGAGTTTTGTCACAAGCGCAATAAATTTCGGATTTCAGTACGATTGTGTATTTTTTTTTTACTGTTTTCGTAATACATTGTGTTTTTTTTCTGCGGTTTTGAGTAATACATATGGTTTCGGTGCAGGTGAGAAGAACGATTTTTTGGATCTTGCAACGGAAGAATGGATTGTGATGCGATTGCGACAATATGAGCGAACAAGTAATGCTTGCTTTATACCTCGTGAACCACCAGCTCCTCGCGGTGGTGCTGCATATCGTAAAAGACGCCGAATACTTACTTTTGCTATTGAACCTTTGAAAATTACTCCGAAAGTATGTTTTTGTTTCCGTTTTATCTATCGAGAAGTAGTGTGATGTTTTGAAACTGGTTAAAAAATGTAACTGTTGAGAAGGCATTTAATGATAGCAAACAATTTAAATTTGCTCGATGTTTCAATATCGAAATGATTTTAATTCTTTTTGAATTGTTTTTAACAAACATTTGCGAAAGTCATGTCTTGGTGCTTTCCCTTTCATTTTCTGTGAAGTTCATTTTTTTGAATAGTTTGAACCTCCATTTTCCTCCTTTTCAGTTACGTTTTCGGAGGATTAAATTCTTTCTTTTTGTTGTCCAAAGTTTGAAGTTGAAGGTTAATAGAGTTCAAGGGGTTTTCATCAATCTTATCAGGGACTACAAAATTATATTAACAATTTTCGTTATCTCAGGGATGGGCATTGAATCTTCTTGATTGATTTGCAAGCAATCTTTTAATTTAAAGCCAGGTATTTCACTGAAGACTTTGAGATGTGCTAAAACAAGCACTGATAAAGCATTTTAGGTTATTTCTGATACAATGGAATTAGCGGATGCAAAATCACTTATCAAAAGTGCTTTCATTAATGCGAAGAGTTGTACAAATTCTGTAAATACGACCATTACGGATAGTGGCTAACCAATTGATTGCCAACTGATTTATTCATGAGATGAAAATTTTTTGCAGATTCGCAATGATGCTAGTTTTATTCTTTCAATATTTCATTTAAATTGAAGAATTCAAGGATGAAAGTGAAAAAGGACTGGAATTTTGCTTTCACTACTTCTGCCCCTATATTAAAATATTTTAAACGGCAGATTTGGGCATAAACAAGCTGAATCAATATAAGCGATTAATGTATCACCCACATGTTGTCCAGTTAGAAAACTATCAATTCATGTTTGATTTATCTTCCTGAACAAATGCTAGTGAACGAATGATAAAATGAAAATTGATTTCAATAATATAGAAATTCATTCCCTTTGCTAATATTTTTGCATTTTTCAGATTAGGTATCTTTCGACAGCCGGCATAGCGTCTTTATTTGTATATGCAAAATGTTTAGCTGATCTTTTGTAAATGACAGGTTATTGTTATTATTTTGTTTTCATCTAAGATCTCGTGTAGGATATTGCATACTTGTGTTACAAGTACATATAAATTTATAGGAATCGACTGACTGATTGGTTGGCTCCCAGTTATTTAGTAGTTAAGTGATTGATTGTTATGCTAAAATTTGTTGAGAAATGTCTTAATTAAGGTCAAGTTTCTTTTTTTTTTGAAAATGCAAAAGTATTAGCTGAGCGTCCTTCATGGCTTTGTGCAATTCATATTTCATTTCTTAATATGTTGTTCTGTTTTGTAGATACTTCGTTTTCTTTAATTTAATTAGTTAAAGATATTAAAAAAAATAGGAAAGCAAGTATACAAACTTCATGATTGACATAACTAAAATGGATAAAAAGGTATGATTCTCAGTTAAAAAGGTATGATTCTTGTCATCTTGTTGAATAAGAAGCACATGTTGTAATTAGTGTTTGTCGTGTGTTATATATCTTATTAATGAATGCTAGTTATATTTTTTCTTTCAGCTCACACTGCCAATAGGAAATAAATTTGATGAGTGCATATTATCTTAATAATTTATGCGATTTTCGTGGCCCATGACTTCTACGTTTATTTTTATTGCCAGTTGAAATTTCACACAAACATTTGGGTCTACATGGATGTTAACACGGGTTTTATGTCATTTTGACAATCATAATTAACTGCTCCTGTATGCCTAAGACTTTATTTTATCAGGAAGCTTTTTGTCGTCATATTGCCTACAACCCGCTTTGTTTATTACGACAAAAAAAACTCACATTTCCTCAATTGTCCCCAATGTCTGCTTTTATCTCTTTGACACATTGAAAAAAAAGCTTATCAATAGATAACTGACTTAATGAAAATAACTTTGCATATATTTTTAAAAGGCATATACCTATTAGAATAGTAACAGATTATATTAGTTATGTCATTGAAAATTAGTCACTTTAATTATTCCTCAGGAATTCTGATTATCCCCTTCCAATGCCTACTGTCTCTATCACTGTTGAAATTTTTGAGTGACAACTTGCGCATATTTTCAAATTGTACATTTCTTGCCATTTCCATTTTTGCATACCTCTTTTGTTTAATGGTGTTTTGAGACAAGAAAGGAATTTTTGATGTTAGTCGCTCGATCACATTTAAAATCTGATTGTTTGTTGGCTTTCGGACAATTTGGACAAATGCTGCATAAAGGAAACACAAAGGTTGTCGTGAAAGTTAGAAATGAATGCAAAGTTGACAAAAATTTTTTTTTTGATCGTACTAAAATCAGTAATGTTAAAATTTGGCAATTTTAATTACCAAATGTTCTGCTTATACATTAGATCGTATTAAAATCAGTAATGCATAGAGCAAATAAGCTGCACATTTTACATTTGTCATATATAATAACACAGTAGAGAGTAAATTTTGCAAAAAAAAGACGTTTGTAACTATTGCTTAAATAGGGAACGACTGTATTTCTTGGAGAATTTTCCAAAGTAGGAAAAAAAGTTAATAAAATAAGTTGTGTGTCACACATTGTTGTTCCTTAGCAAGACAAATGGTAAAAAAAAAGAAGGAATTTAAGACGTATGTATGTATATATGGTATATATGTATGTATATGACATCAATAAACAAAATTAACAATAATGATCAGCAGTTCGAGAATGTTGGCAAAACTTATGGATCAAAATATTTCTTCATAGCTGGTGGTAATGTTGGCTTGTTTTCAAGATCTTTATAAAACAGCACCATTTTCACTGATAACTGGAATGAGAAATTTTTTAAGATTAAATGAGTTTAATCCATTTGAAGTTTTTTCAATGTTAACTCTGTATTTCGAATTATCAGAAACAGTACAGAATTAATGTCACTCTGACAGATGCAAATTACTCAAAATTTTCACTTTCCTGTTTCTTTGCTTATGGATTAATTTTTAATAGTTATTTTCGTATAGAATTTTTAATAGTTATCTTCGTATAGATGTGACAATAGCAAAAAAAGAAATATTATGCTTGTATTTATTAATTCGTCACCAATTCATTAAATATGACAGTTAATTAATTGATAGTCTCATTATGTGAAATAGAATGAATATGTACTATTTCATACTTTTCTCCAGCGAAATGGATCGAATACACTGTATGATCCTTTCTCGTATATGGTTGTACATTCCTTGACACTTTTGTAATCGAAACGCCTTAACCAAACACGCCTCATTTTGTGATAGCGCCACTCCCTTATATATCTGAAAAAAAAAGGTATTCTAATTAGTGATAAAAGGAAAATCGATAAAGATTATCAGAAAGAAAATTTTGATCTTTTAATCAAACTTACAGCTCATAAGCAGCAGCAATTTGATATTGCTCACCGGGATAATTATAAAACAGATAAAATAATACATCCTCTTCTAGCAACGGAAATTTGAGTTCTGCTAACTTGTCACCAAGCAATAAATTCGTTCTATATTCATTCGGTATCTATAGTAATTTTACTTATTGAACAGAAATGGAGAAGTAAAACGCAAAGAGAGAGAGAGAGAGAGAGGGAGAGCTAAAGAGAGGGAGAGAAAGGAAGAGCAAAAACTGAATCAAAAACTGATGATTATCATCAGTATCAGACATGTTGACAGTAAGGACAGCTGTCCGATTGCAGGGTTAGTTGCGCTTTGCCGGGTTGTAAGCATAATAACACGCTGATATCATCATGCTCAAGGCCTTCCTGAAAGAGGCTTACGATGGCTATCATCAGATATCCAATATCAGTTAAGCTTCTAATAGCTCGTTCCATCTGATCTTATAGCTCGATGAAGTAAGTATTCATTAGCAGTTGCTGAAGAGATAAGCTAACTTAATGTCTAAATGATAATCTTAAAACACAAATGCCAACCCTAGCATCTGCCTGCGATGAATAATTTGGCTTCTCTGCCCATGGTCCTCCGTAATTTAGATGAATTTCGCGTCTAAAACTAATTGCTGAATGATAAATTTTCAATTTAAAAGCGTTTCCAAGTACAATTAACTAGAATTCATGCCTAATTTGTCAAATTAACTAAATAGAAATATTAAATCTTAAGTTTCTTTTCACATCTTTTATTTTAAATTCCTTTGCTAATAAACTAATACGTTATCATATTGGCCGTACTGTATTTGACATACCTGCCATGTCCACTTGGATTCGGTACGATAAGCCTGAAACAAAGAAGACAGGTGGAAGCTTTCGATGTATTTTATTATAATTAAAAATGTTTCATTTAAATGATCAAGAAGGAATATCTACCGCAGAAACAGCAGATATTTCTAAGTTGAAGAACTTTGCCATCAGAATAGA